CTTACGAATCCAATCTCTTCAGTATTTTTTTATAATATGCTATAGTCTTGCCATTCATTTTGACTACATTCCCTGTGCCTCTGTAGCTCGCACATCTCAAACAGCAGCGATCCACCTCCATTATTTGGAGCACTGAGACCAAAATTTAATTTTATGATCACAAATCATTTTGTTCCAAAACATTTTTAGACTTCTCAAGGTGCTGTTTGGTGTGTGGTAACCAGACTGCTTTATAGCTTTGATGAAACAAAAGTGTAAACTTATGAGTGCAGCTGTCACCTTACCTTTAGCATTCAGAAGCGTTCTGTTAGGCTGGTGGCTAAGATTCAGTAATTGCACTGCGTACACTGTATTTTGCACTGTGTGTCTGCTTAATTGTAGGAAATCCTAAATTACTCAGCATTTCATCTCCATGTTGAATTGTTTATTTTTGAATGCCAAAGTACATTTGACCATTTCAATTTTGCGCTAAAGGAATCTTAGCACTTTAAGTGGGCATTGAGAACAAAGCTGTTTCCTGAAATTACTAGCTTGTGCCGTGTAGCATTAACGTGGCAATAAACTCAGGCGTTAAATCTTAAAATGCATTTAAGTACCTTTTAATGATTACCAACAATGTATCTTATTTGTGTATCACTCGGCTGTAGATCCTCAAATCACTTCTGAATTGGTGCAGACACTGTCCTTTCTTCTGGAGGGGGGCTACTTGTGTTCCCTATGGTCCCTGTGTGTGTTGTAGAGTAGTCAATGCTCCAAGGTGACTACTGTGATGGACTACAGTCTGACATTTAGTTTACTCCTTTGTTTTGAGCTTGTAGTCCATCACAGGAGTGAACTTGGAGCCGTGAATACTTTACAACACACACAGGGACCATGGTGAACAGAAGTAGCCACCCTCCAGAAGGAAGGACAGTGTCAGCACCAATTCAGAGATGATTTGAGGATCTACAGCCGAGTGATACACAAATAAGATTTTTGTTAATAGATAAGGTACTTGAATGCATTTTTAAGATTTAACTCCTGAGCTTAGTGTCGCTTTAAATACAGTATGGTATAGCTGCATATGTATATATCTTAGTGGAAGGTGAGTGTGTTGCTTATGCCATCTAAACAGAATACTGTCCAGGTGCTTTTCCATTTTGAAATGGTCTATGTACATACTACCCAGCAAGGGCATTCCCCTTTTCTTGTCCTATAGCTGGATCAATGGTACGGTGAGCAACATGGACGTCGGCTCTTATTGCATCCAGTTGTACACTCGCGTAGCTGTGGTGTCGGTATTACATATTCATTGTGTCCATGTCCGTCTGTCTTCATATGAAGCTCTCTTGTCACTTTTACTGAGCAGTTATGTTAAGCTCTTGGCTGACTGCGTCAAGTCAGAATACTGATTTGTATGTATTTGGTGTATACAATGCAGTGCAATGTGATTGGACACTGTGGTAGCACTTGCACTTTGTGACAATTATAATGTATTTAGAATTGTACCAGTGTCTTACTTTATTTGTTTTGTCATATGTTCTACATGTTGTCTTTTTTGCTCATTGTAAATGTCTTCCTAAATGCATTAAACTGTTGTGTCTCATCGACTGGCCGCCTCCTGTCTCCTATTTATGGTGTATCTAGTGTTTGTTTTCTTCCTATTAAGTGCAAGTAAATAAAACTTGCAGTTTGAAATTGTTCAATTTTATAGTACTGCCCAGAAGTCGTCTTGTCTTGAGATGAGGCGTCTGATTTTTGTTTGTTGATTTTATAAAATGGTTGCATCAAAAATGTATTTTCCATGATTTCGCATTTTGTCTTTTCTTTGTGTGCATCTGGCACCCCTTGTTTTATAATCGGAGGAGCAGACGACTCGCTTCTTCATTACAGGCAGCTCCCTGCAAGACAGATATGTACAACATGACCTATGATTACTTCTTTACCTCATACAGCACCGCCACTAGGACAATTACACGCTCAGCATATAGAAAAATGTGACTATTAATGAATATGCAAATATTACAGTTGCGCTCATTCCCACCCGAACATTCACATAGGGCAGAGGATCCCTATGGGAGCATGGGAACCAAATTATGGGGTATGGGACTTGATTCTGGGAATTTCTTCAAGGATTGAAAAGAGATTTCTTGCATTATTGAACCGGAAATAAAGTATAGAAATAGACTAGATGTGCCAGACGACCTGCGAAGAACGTTTTCAGTATTTTTGCTGTTTTCATTGCACAAACGCAGCAACATTCTCACTAGTTGTAGCTAGATTATGTATTTGTGTTTTGTCTGTATGATAAAATAGTTCTGATTTTCTTTCGGCTGCTCTGTCCCTGGTTACTCACATGGAAAGTAAAACCAAGCTGGTTTAAAGTCACACTGGAACCTGACAGACGTGGTGGTGAGGATAATTTTGACAGTCTAGGGATATATTGGGCAATCCAAGGGAGTCTTATGTAACTTAACAATTAACTACCCCGGCATAAAATAGGACAGAGAGGCTGAGGAATATCTTTTTGTTCCCAAGTGACTTGCTCGATCACCAATACCTGCCATGTGATCTTTATGATATGGGTGCACAAATGATATTTTGGTTTGTAAGTGGGTGAAGGGATTGGATCTGCCTGATTTCCCAAAAAGGTCAAAAATCACTGCATCCTTCACAAAGCTCTCTATTTGTTGCTAATAAAACCCAATAATGATTAATGACTGGCCCTAAGGTCACCAATTAACAACATAGTAATACATACATACATGAAACTGGATATCTCACAATTAATCTTCATTACTTCTAAAGCTTAGGTAAAAACATTGAAAAAGTACAAATCCCCAAATACCTGCACAGATACAGATGAGACTAAAGAACACCGCCATCTTGTATCACCGTTACACTGCTGTGCTCAGCCCGTACCACTCTGGTTTATGTGTTAGATCCAATACTTGAACAAACGTAAGGTGTTGTAGTGGCCGTCATTAGAAGATCTAATTGCACCTTTAAAATCCCATGTAGAGAAGACATAGAAGCTTTTCATATACACATTTTACTGATTATTAGCCAGTGTGGTGTGTACAAAACTGGTCGGTGCAATGTTATTGGTATTCTTACATCGACCTGTTGCGAAATATTTCTTTAGATTTAATGTGCGTGTGAATTTATGTAGTTTTGGTACATGTAGTAAAACTGTGGCTGCAGCGGCCTGTGTCCCTTCAAATCCCCGCTGCTCTCCGCGCCTGTGTTGGCGGAGACACAGACCGCTGCATGCCTTCACTGCCCCCCTTACCTCCACTGTTGTCCCAGCCTCTGGTCCCCTGGTCCGTCCGCTCCTGTCCCGGTCTCCGGTCCCATGGTCCGTCTCCTTCGTCTAGGATCCGGTCCGGCCGTGGCTCCTCTGCCCCGCCCCCCTGCCTCCTCTTCATTGCAGGCTGGGAGCCATACCCAGCCTGCTATTGGATATTGTAAAATGCAATACCCAATAGCAAGCTGGCTATTGCACCCGCCCACTGCCTGCTGTCAATCAGCATGGGGGGACCTGATAGAGAACTTTCTCCTTCAGGCCCCTCCTCCGCTGAGCCCTGATTGGGCACAGTCTTGCACCTGACCTATGGTCAGGTGCAAGACTTCAACAAATCAGAGCTTCAGTGGGCATTTTGTATTATGGAATATTGAACAAACCGCGAACATCCCATAAAGTTCGGCGTTCGGCGAGCGCTGGAACTGCCGATGTTCGATTCGAACTCATGTTCAAATCGAACACTCGGCCCATCCCTACTGTCTATGAGTATTTACATGCTTACCTCATCCTTGTCTTTTGCTTTGTAAAGGTGGCCATACACTTTACAACCATCGCAAGACCTTAGTCTTGCGATGGTTGTAAAGTAATTTGAAAAACGTACGATCTGCCCATCTTGGACAGGCAGATCGTACTTGCGATCATCGCAAGCCCGCCCCCCTGGGGGGCCGGCTTACGTTGACTGCAATGCTGAACGGGAAGTGTGCGCGTGCACACACCGGCCCGTTCGGCATTTGTCTCCCGAGCATCATTCAAACCAGCCAAAAATCGTAAGATTTTCAGCTGGTTTTCTAGCGTGCTCCTTAGATAAAAGACGTGTGACCGTACAGTAGAAACGGTCGCACGTCTTCATTCACACTGCACGTCTTCATTCTCGTACGAGAATCGTGCAGTGTACGGGCACCTTAAGGAGAGACGTCACTATCCTTCTGGCAAAATCCCTGGGGAACAGGGAGCACCCCAAATCTAGCACAAAGACGCTCCATTCCAGTGTATGAGTATCTCCTCATATTTTGGCCACTGCATCCCCCAGGATCTCAGTGAAAGTAGCATGATATCACCCTCACCTCGGTAAGGTTATAAGTATATAATCTAACTATCATCTTGTATATTATCTAACTTTTTTATTTACTGGTACATTTTTGAAGCCCTATTAGGCAGTGATTTTTGCAGGGAGAGGGGCCCGGACCTAAAAAATGGACCATGCATTTTAATGCAAAGTCAACTTTAAATGAATTTGTAGCTTGAGGAATCACCGAACAAATCTCTCGAAAATAACAATACAAATGGATTATTGCTTTATGATTTATTTTTAATAAAGAAAGATAAACATGAAAAATTAGACTGTCATATATAGTACAAAGAAATAACCAGCTGCACCCCCAAAGGGATAATTGGAAAGGGAAACAAAAAATAGTTATAAGAATTATTGCTATAAAATGAACGTAAACCAAACTGGATTATGAAGATGCCAAAATTAGTTTCCCCCACCTTTGGATATTCCTAACACACCCAATCAACATAATTCAAAAGGTAATTGTCAATAATTAGGAAAAAGCATCACTAAGGGGCAGATACATAAAGGGTTCACCAACGGTATACAGTGTTTATTACTACAAATGTGTGAACTCTTATATAGGTGCTCTATCAAATTCATATAGTGATGTCAGGTTACTTCCAGATCCAGTATATTTCCTCTGTGTGGTCTCTTGTTCTTCAATCAAACTGTAATCAAAGAGAAGTCAATGTCAGCAAATGTGAAATCCATATTGAAATAATACTTAGACCATTTTGTTCCACACGTTTGTTTTATAAATATTTATTAATTTTTCAAACATCAATACAATTTACACACATTTTACAAAGCTGACAAGCAATCAACATTAAAAACAAAACAAAACAAAACATTACCTTAAGTCCTTCTAACCTCCATATTATACCCATTGTCCATAACCCAATCTATATCTGCACAGGGCCAGCCTTCACAATTTCACCCTTTAACGTGAGTGTATCATATTTTATTCCACACGTTTTCACTCATCTATAACATAAAACTCAGAAATACATTTCCATGGATTTGTATATTCATTATCAATCGAGAACACTCTTTTATGTTTATCTACTAACAATATTAAAAGGTAAAATAACATTATTTGCACATTTTTTTCTCGCTTGTCGGTCTTTATTTTGATATGCCGTATTCTATATTACAGATTTGAATTCCATCTGTATAGCATGTCTGCTTACAGGGAAACTGTAGTGGAATTTGTTCAGTTGTATTTCCATTTTTTCTATATATATGTTTTTTTTTTATTTGTATACAATCCTTAGTTGACATATAAACATTTAACACCAGGTGCTTCTATTTTCTTTGTGTGCAATAAAGGGCATTCAGCTGTGCGTGTAATCTGAGATCCTGCTATTCAAGTCATGAGCTATCATAGACTGTAAAGTACCAAACTGGCTGCAAATGGAAAGTGTTACATCTTTATATGTAATATTTTATATTCATTTGGGTGAATGAAATAAAAAATACGTATTTGATTTTTTTTTGCTCCTGAATGTAATACATAAAAATAAGCTCAGTTAACCTTATAGACAATTGTTTTCAGTTATTCAGTCCTGGCCATATAGCTGACAGAGTAGATGTGAAGAACAACCACTATGTAGCAATACAAAGCAGGAAGTACAGCCTGCATATGTCATAAGAAAAAATGGTAGCCCTAGTGGCGTAACTATAGCCATAGTAGCCCAGGCGCCTGCTATGGGGCCTGGGGGTGGAAGGGGGCCCCATTAGGTTGTTAAGGCAAATTAAACATAGAATATGTAAAGAAAATAATATATAATAATAAAAACGGTATCAATAAGTGTTGGTGTTGAAGTCTACAGTGCAGTGATGAGAAATCTTTGGGATCTTGGCATTGTTATTCACAGCTCTAAGAGAGGTCTTTAGAGGGGCAACCAATCAAATTTTTGTTGTGGGGCCCTGTGATCTGTAGTTACGGCCCTGGGTTGCCCCATGTAAATAAAGTTACAAACCATTATTACAAACAAGGTTTTTAAAGCTGAACGCTCACTGATATGATTATAAATTCACACAGGGGTCTATGCTATGTTCTGGGATCCCTGCGGCAAGCAGGTAACGATTCTTGAAGCAGGAATCTCAGATGTGCCCCTTCAGGTGTGGCCGCTGTATCCATTCAAGTGAATGACAGGGTAACAGTGGGTACATCTGTCCATGGTAGCCTTTATGTTGTCGTACTTGGTACAATTACATGCGGTCTGGGCACATCCATCCTGCATCCAGGGACAATCATCTATTTTGAACGGCATGCAGACAGATGCGCCCGCTGTCACCCTGCTTATAACTTGAACTAGTGCAGAGGCTGCATCTAAATGGGCACACCTGGAATTCCTTCCATAGAGACTCCATAGGTTCTTGCATCAGGAATACCAGAATGCAGCCTTAGGCATGAATATTTGAGGTAACTTTGCTTTAAAACAAAAAGGAACTTCTATTATTCTGCTACTTACAGAAGGTGTAATAGGCCTGGAATCCCCTCGCCTGCCCCAAACGGTCACTATGGAATTTGAGAACCATAGAAGTGCCAGTGGAGGTTATTTCAGGATCAATGATATTGCTGCAGTATGTAGTAACGTTACCATCTACATTGACTTGTAGGTAGTCGTACCTACAGCGCCAGCTATACTCTACATGGAAGTCAGTTATGCTCAGAGCAATCTAAAAGAAAGAAATACAATTATAGTTCACATGACAATGATGTTTTCATGCAATAAGCAGACACGTCCTTTTTTTATTGCATTAACCTCTGAAAATCTGTACATCAGCAGCGAAGGGTCCCTGTAAGCAGACTCATTACATGTGTAAAGCCAACTGTCAGCTCCATCACTTCCAGGGACTCTGAAGCATGCATCCCCCCACCCTCACCTCCGCTCGAAACCCCTACCGTGTTCCCTAAGGACTCAGGACCGGCAGTGTGAGTGTTGGTGGAGACAGGGGGGATAGACCTGCGCACATCCATTCACTGCTTTCCTCCCTGCTGAATGAACGATGACGATGTTATTTCTGGTTTTTGAGCTGTCATTCCCCAGCTAGAGAGGCCGGGGAAGAAACTTATTTGTGCTTGGTCAGCTTCAATGGGTTATAAAGGTAACAATGTCTCCTTATAGCGAACCTATCACCACTAAAGTGCTATCATTTTAATGTGTAGACAAATTGCATCCGATGATAATCATTTATTCTGAACTGCACATGAGCCATCCATGTACGATTACATGCAGACAGCCATTTCAAACCATGGTGCCAAACGTGCTATTTAAGGCTGTACCCTGCATACATCTAGTGCTGAGAGATCTTCATCTAGTTACCTGAATCTGATTCTGTTTCTGCTATTCCGTTATTGTCCCGGCCTGAACCTTGACTCTGCTATATGTTGTCTGCCTCAGGGAATTATGGCTTATTGTCTGGCCTCTCTTCTGTCTGCTGATTTGGTACCGCTTTGCCTGCAAGTTGATGACCCGGCCTGTCCCTGACCTCACTTCTGCCTGCTGATTCTGTACCATGTTGTCTGCCTGTTACTGCCCCTGCTTGTTACTAGCTCTGATTCTGCCTGCTGCACCAGTGCAGTTCCAGCTGTTGTCAGCATCATCGTCCCCAGGTGACCGCATTTCTCTGCATCCCGTCGCCTGTATCATTCATTCTGGTGTCATTAGCAGTAACACCTTCTCGTGCCCCTCTTCCATATCTGTACCCGCTTTCTCACTGCCAGGGGTGTCTAAACAAGAGCAGCAGGAGAGGCTTCCCTCTTCATCTCAGGCTCCTACCGTGGTACGTGACACACAAAAATCCCCAGCCTCACATGATAGCCCCATGTGAATGAAGCCTTAGGATGACCAAAAAGTAAAGTCCTTTTTATATCTTAATGATCCACACTCTACAACTGGCAGACAAGGAACTGAACAATCTGAGCTCCACAAACATTAATGGCAGCTTTTTTCCCCATTCATTTGTCTAAAAAAGACTCAAGCAACAGATCTGCATTCTCCCTTCCTCTCCCCCTGTGGACCTGTTACTTTCAATCACTGATAGGGACATTGATGTCACAAATTCAAGAAAAGCCTCATAAACAGCTTACATAAGTTACACCATGGGTTTTAAGGCAATTCCAACCATTACCGCTAACAGTTCATGTCAACACCATGAATTGATCCAAAAAGTGTTAGTAGGTAGTCTTAGAGCAATCTATTTTAGATTCACCAACAGCCATGTGGTGTGACGGCTAAAACAATACATTCAGTTTCTAGCAGGTAGGCCCTCTACATAATTGTTGTTGGATTTAAAGGGCGTTGTACAATCAGAATGTAGTGTGTCTGGCCAGTGTTAAGGCTTTCTGCATATCTTTTAGAGAATTAGTGAAGATTAGGCAATGAGCACTTTAAGTTATCTTGTTTTACCCTATATCCAGCAGGAGCTGTGATGGTGTAGGTACAATCCAAGTTCGGACTGTAGAAATTTGGGTAGTTCGGAGATGTAAACTTTCTTTCGAAGGTAAAGAATGCTCCTCCACACTGAACTGTAAGAATATAAAAAGAGTCAGCACAGTAACCAAATATACAATAGTTTATAGCATCATTTAATGTTATATACAATCATGGCCAACAATATTGGCACCCCTGTATTTCTGTCAGATAATGCACCACTTTGCACAGAAAATTGTTGCACTTACAAATGTTTAGGCATTCTCATGTTTATTTATTTTGTTTGTATTGGTATGACACACAAAAGTTGAGAGAAAAAAGCCAAATCTGGCACATTCCACGCAACACTCCAAAAATGGACTGGAAAAATGTATTGGCACCCTCAATTAATATTTGGTAGCACAGCCCTCCGAAAAAATAACTGAAATCAGTGGGTTCCTGTAACCATCAATGAGCTTCTTACACCTCTCTACAGAAATTTTGGACCACTTTTCTTTCGCCAATTGCTCCAGTTCTCTCAGATTGGAAGGATTGCTTTCCCAACTGCTGTTTTGAGATCTCTCCACAGGTGCTCTATGGGATTTAGATCTGGACTCATTGTTGGCCAGTCCAGTACTCTACAGCGCTTTGTCTGAAACCATTTCCGAGTGCTTTTTGACATGTGCTTTGGGTCATTGTCCTGCTGTAAGACCCATGACCTCTGGCGGAGACCCAACTTTCTGACACTGGGCCCTACATTGCACCCCAGAATTCTTTGGTAGTCTTCAGATTTCATAATGACGTGCACACAGTCAAGACATCCAGTCCCTGAAGAAGCAAAGCAACCCCAAAATATCAGTGAAACTTAATCCTCATGTCCCATTGCACTCCTGATCGGAGAAAGCCCAATGCAGCCGGGTGGGTGCAGCAGTGACAACGATTGCCTCTGAGAAGTATAGATGAATAAGGTTAGTCACTCGCACTCCAAAGGTAGTAAAGTCAATAGTGTTTATTAACTATAATTATGCACATCTCCTAAGCAACGTTGCTTAGGAGATGTGCATAATTATAGTCAATAAACACTATTGACTTTACTACCTTTGGAGTGCGAGTAACTACCCTTATTCACCAAAACATAAGTTTACCTCCACTATGTTTGACTTTAGGGACTGTATCGTGTTCTTTAAAGGCCTCATTTCTTGTTCTAACAGTAGAATGATGGGCTTTACCAAAAATATATCATTTTGTTTCGTCTGTCCACAGCACATTCGCCCACAAGCTTTTTGGCTTCTTCAGGCAAACTCAAATCTGGCTTTTTTATGTTTCAGTGGGGTCCTCCTGGGTCTCCTACCATAGCGTCCCTTTTCGTTTCGATGGCGACGTATAGTGCATGCTAACACAGTTGTACCCTGTGCTTGAAGGTCAGCTTGAATTTGTCTAGAAGTTGATCGAGGGTTTTTATCCACCATTCGAACAATCCTTCATTGCAACCTTTGATCAATTGTTCTCTTTCTTCCACTTCCACGGAGATCAGCTACAGCGCCATGGGCTGTAAACTTCTTGACAATGTTGACAACAGTGAACACAGGAACATTAAGACTTGTAACCTTCAAAATGTCCATGCTTTTCCACAAAAACTTGTAATGTAATTGTTGCTTGCAATTTGGAGAAGGTGCCAATAATTGTGTCTAGTCCATTTTTGGAGTGTTGCGTGGAATGTGTCAGATTTGGTTTTTTTTCTCTACTTTTTTGTGTTATACCAATACAAACAAAAGAAATAAACATGACAATGCCTAAACATTTGTAATTGCAACACTTTTCTGCGCAAAGTGGTGCATTATCTGACAGAAATGCAGGGGTGCCAATATTTTTTACCATAACGGTATACATAACTCATAATCCCTTTCTGAGTTCTGGGTTGGTTTCAAGATAGGACCCCACTCCTCACCGCACATGAGAAAGCTAAGGCCTAGAGACTGGCCACTCAGGCACCAAATTCTGCATCAGGGTAGGAAGTGGAGAGAGTAATATGTTCTGCCATAACCTAAAGTATTTCACAGGTCACTCATGGGAAAACAGGCATGTGGTAGTGGTACATATGGCAGCAGGAACTAGAACATCTCAGGCACAGGGAAAACAGCAAAGGAGATTCATTTATATAGTATATTATGTAATAGGAGCCATAGAGGTAAGTATTAACACTCCTAAGACTGACTAACATAAACATTGTACAATGTACCAACAACTTTATAGTGCGAGGGCTTCCCTAATTGATTACAAAATTAAAGGACTGTTTAGGCAGGACCTCACATTACATCGTTTTCATATGTCTAAATAAGATTGTTTAATCAAATTGTAACACATGTGGACAGATGTCCCAGGTCTACTAAAGACATTTTGTGGAGTTTTTCAAAGGTTTTAAATAAAGGTAAGAGGACATCAAACTGTTGTGTCAATCTTTCTCTCTTTGGCTCTACAACTGTGATTCTTCATCATCTTTCTCTGAGCACTCTCTGTGCCTTTAAAATAAATCAGCATGGGGCGTGTCCTGGACATGGCGGAGTGAGGCAGCACTTCATGTGAGCTCCGTGCAGTATCCCCGGGACGGCGGAACAGATAACGATTTTCAGTGGATCTTACCCCATGTCAATTGCTGGACATATGCTCAACGCTGGCAGAGGTCACCGACAGATGGATCTCCTAGAACTATTCTCGCGGGCGGGAGGAGACAGCTCAGTGAGGCCGGAATCCAATATGGCGACCATGCGCTCGGCGGCCTCGAATGCATCTTCTTCCAAGAAGCTCCCTAAGTCGCTCCAGATGACGGCCCCCGCATCGGTTAGTCGCACAAGCCGCCACCCTCGCCCATCTGCACTCCGCTCCTACTCGATGAGGGGTCTCTCACGGGATCGGGTGTGTCCGGAGTAGGCCCCGTGTCGGACGGGGATAACGACTGGAGGGCCTTCCTGCCACAACTATCCACCAAGAGGGACTTAGATGGCATGGCCTCTAAGATTGTGGAGGCCCTCTGGCATGAACTCCAGGAGGTCAAACAGCAGCTCTCCACTCTTGATGGCCGGGTCGACTCGGTCGAAGTGGCAGCCAACTCCCTGCAAGGGCGTGTGGATGCCCTAGAGGCAGGTCAGGCCGCACACCAGCAGCATATCAACTCCATCTACCTACAAGTTGATGACAGCGAAAATAGAAATCGCCGAAACAACTTACGCCTTAAGGGGATACCCGAGGCAACGTCAGGAGTGGATCTGAGATCCTCTGTTGTGGCCATCCTCAATCACTATCTGGACAAGCCGCCCACCGCGGAGCTGGAGCTGGATCGCGTGCATAGGACGCAGGGGGCCCGTACACTGCCTTCGGGAGTCCCGAGAGATGTCCTCTGCAGGGTCCACTTTTATGCCATAAAGGAGGAGATTCTCCGTAGGGCCTGGAATAAGGGACCATTGGACTTCGATGGAGCAAGGGTCCAAATTATGCCGGATCTTTCCCGCCACACCCTGCGTATGCGCCGCACCCTGAGGCCTGTGCTGGAAGTGATCAGGGCAGCAGGGGCTACCTATCGCTGGGGCAATCCCTTTCATCTTATTGTTTCCCGGGAGAATCGGGTCTTTCACTTACATGAACCCGCGCAGTTGCCGGCCCTTTTCGCATTCCTGGAGTCAGAAGTAGTTCCTGTGCCGAACTGGTTGGATTTCTCGATGGATCGACCTGGACCGAGCCTGGCAACGCCTAGACCAGTGAGGGGATCGCGTTCCCGCCAGCGCTCCTACCTCCGGGGTACCCCGTCCAGCAGCAGAGACGCTAGGGAGCAGTGAGTATCCAGACCTGCCGGCCCTCCCTGATCCAAGTGTGGATGCCACATGACCACCCTGTGGCTTGACTCTATCTATGATTTTCCTCATATGGATCCCTTGGACAGACTCCTGTCCTGAAGGGACACGCAGGGCTCCGTTGTATCCTTGATCTTACTATGCCTTGGAGGGGGAGGAGGGTGAGGGTCAGCTATACACAAGGATATAGTGGACAGTGGACATCTTCCATGTCGGGTCCTCTCCAGGCCATCCGAGTTTTGCGTACCTGGTCCTGCTGAGTTGAAGTCATTTGTTATGCTTGTTATGTTTTCACTCTTAGAGCATGCCTCTCCTGGGCTGCGCGGGCTAGGCCCAGGTTGTGGCACCGGTCTGGGGTCAAGTAGCCTGCCGGAGATACCCTGGCTTGCGTGAGCGGCAACACAGAACTTCGGGGTAAGGCATGCCCACCCTCGGTCGGTCCTGCAGAGCTCGGGCCTGGCCAGCGGCTCCCAGGATAAGAAGTTAACGGCTGCTAGCCCTAAAATGTGTAAATGTCTTGCAGTCAAATGTGGTTCTTTTGGCCGTCCTGGCCATACCTAGCATGGCTCCGTTGTAAGTTTTTCTTGTTTAATAACCTTTGTTGATAAGTTTTGAGTTTTATAAGATTTATCTTATTGTTGCCTTACTGCTCTGCCAATTGTCAATACCTAGTGACACGCAGGTGCTACTAGGTCCCCCAATACAGGTGAAACTCGAATAATTAGAATATCGTGCAAAAGTAATGGCAGTAAGTGCTGCAAAAGGGGCCCAAACCAAGTACTGAGTACATATGCATGCTTGTACTTTTCAGAGGTCCAATATTGTTCTATGTACAATCCTTGTTTTATTGATTGCATGTAATAATCTAATTTTTTGAGGTTGTGGATTTGGGGTTCTTGGGGTTTTCATGAGCTGTAAGCCATAATCATCACAACATGTAATGAGTCTATCTCATATATTAGTTTCACCTTTTAAGTTGCATTAGTGAAATAAATGAACTTTGCACGATATTCTAATTATTCGAGTTCCACCTGTAGGTCATCTCCTACCCTCTGTGAGGGGGGAGGTGTGTCAAATCAAAGTCGACCCGTAGCTGGGTCTGATGGTTGGTATCACCCACAGGAATTGTTTCTCCCTGTTTCAAGGGTCTTTCCATAGTGCTCTCTCATATAGCCCCCCTTTTACATTCTTTCCCCACTGTCCCCCCTAGCCCCAACTTCTGGCCTTTACTGCCTCTCTCCCTATACATCTATTCCTCCCTACCCCTGTCCCCCCCCCCTTTTTTTCTTTCCCCCCTGACAGACATGGAGGATCCGGGGGGTTCGGCCCCAATGGGGAGCACGGATGAGGCAATTAGATTCACTTCGCTTAATGTCAGGGGCCTGAATGTACCCGATAAGCGTTCCCGACTCCTGGCGGATCTGAGACGATCCCGATCACAAGTGGTATTCCTGCAGGAGACCCATTTTAAAACCCAACAGGTCCCACGACTCCACAATAGGGACTACCCGGTGGCGTACCACTCCTCATCCCCTTTATCAAAATCCAAAGGGGTGAGCATTTTGGTGGCCCGGTCGCTACCATGGACTTTGATGGACCTCCGGCAGGACCCGGACAGTAGATTTATTCTTGCCAAGGGTCGGATAGGGGACACGGTAATTACCCTAGCCAATGTGTATCTTCCCAACTCGGACCAACTAACCTTCCTGAGACACCTGGTGTCCTTATTGCTGGACTTTTCAGAGGGTTCCCTGATTTTGGGGGAGACATGAACTTTGCCCAGGACCCACTAGTAGATGTTTCCAGGGGAGCATCACACTAGACATGTGCGATTCGTTTAGTTCCGAATCGAAATTCGGACGAATTTTCGTAAATTCGGACATTCGGATGTATCCGAATTCCGAATTACAGACATAACGAATGCAAACGAATTTCCATTTCCGAAATTCGGTAGCGTTCGCACGAATGTTCGTTTCGTTTTCTGTTCTTATTCGTTTCTTATTCGTTTCGTTCGTTGGAGCAAAGTGACATTAGAGAAGGAGAAAAATATTTTTTCCCCCTCAAATGTCACTTTTGCTGCAAACGAACGAAATGAATAAGAAACGAATAAGAAACGAATAAGAACAGAAAACGAAACGAACGTTCGTGCGAACGCTACCGAATTTCGTCCGAATCCGAATTCCGAATCCGAATTGACTTTCACACCCGAATCCTGAAAAACGAAATAACACAAATCCGAATTTAAAACGAAACGAAACGAATTTTTTGGCAGTGCACATGTCTACATCACACCTCTCCTATGCATACCTTAAGAAGCTGAAGGCGGAACTCCAGGGGCTACGCTTGGTAGATGCATGGCGGTTCCTACATCCAGAAGCTAGAGACTACACTTTCTTCTCCCAAGTACATCAGACATACTCCAGGATAGACATTTTCTTTGTGAGCCATCAGGCCCTACCGTCCCTGCGATCGGCCGCCATAGATACTATACTGTTGTCGGATCATGCCCCTATTCATATGGACATGGTCATAGGGCCCCAGCACTTCCCAATGTCATCCTGGCGCTTGAATGAATCTCTCATTCAGGACCCGGGGATCAAGGCAGAGGTGGAAGGAGCCATTAGATCCTACTTCATCTCCAACTCCGAATCAGGTCCCAGCCCTTCGATGGTATGGGAGGCCCACAAGTGTGTGGTAAGGGGGATTCTCATACATCATGGAGCTCGACGCAAGAGGGAAAGGGCTGAACAGATTTCTAACTTGACAGACCAAATCTACAGACTGGAGTCGTGTCACAAACGCTCCTTGGCACAGTCCTCCCAGTTAGCTCTCCAAAAAGCACGGAAAAAGCTGAACGCCCTGCTATACCAACGCACCAAACAACGCTTAGTGACATGTAAACGCACCTTCTACGAATACTCTAACAAACCGGGTAGACTCTTGGCGAGAGCTCTGGGGGGTACGCGGTCGAAAATGTATATCCCACACATTACATCCAGGTCAGGCACCAAATTGTCATTGTCGAGGGATGTGGCCTCCGAATTTGAGGATTTCTACGCCCACTTATACAACCTGAACCCCAGCCCGACCCAGTCAGACGTAGCGGGTCGCAGACCCTTAATAGAGAACTACCTGTCGCGATCGGGAATGCCTACCCTGACCTCGCAAGTTAGTGATCTCTTGGAGGCCCCATTATCAGTGGAAGAGTGGAATATTGCCATCAAACAGTCAAAGCCAAGGAGGGCTCCAGGTCCGGACGGGTTCACCCTGTTGTACTTTAGATCGTTTGGGCACCTACTCTCTGAAAATTTTTTGGAAGCTTATAATGCCCTCTCGCAAGGAGGTGCCCTACCGACTGACGCTCTTCGAGCGCACATCACAGTGATCCCGAAACCGGACAAGGACCCCTCCCTCTGTGCCAGCTACCGTCCAATAGCATTGTTGAACACAGATTTGAAAATTTACGCTAAAATGCTGGCAAATAGGCTTCTCCCTTATATACCCGACCTTGTACATTCCGACCAGGTCGGATTTGTGCCTGCCCGAGAGGCACGAGACAATATAGTCAGGGTTCTCAATGTGATTAATTCGGCCCGCAGCCGTTCGCGCCCTCTTATGCTCCTATCCATGGACGCCGAGAAGGCGTTCGATCGGGTTGATTGGAATTTCCTCGAGTCCACGCTCCAATATCTAGGGCTGGGGACACATATGCGCTCATGGATTATGGCCCTTTTACTCATCCCCAATGGCAGCTGTGAGAGTTAATGAAACTCAATCAGAGTACTTCTCCATCTCCAATGGTACCCGTCAGGGATGCCCCCTATCCCCGCTCATATTTATCCTCACGCTGGAACCCCTATTATGCACCATTAGGGCAGATGATTCCGTCGGGGGCCTACAGGTTCCCTCGGGGACACACAAATTGGCAGCCTACGCGGACGATCTGGTCTTCTTTATATCCCGTCCAATGTCCTCAGTCCCAGCCCTTACGAAGGCATTCGACACTTATGGAAAGCTCTCTAATTTTTTGGTTAATCAGGCCAAGTCGGAAGCTCTCAACATCACCTTACCCCCGATGGAACTAGACCGTGTGAGGTCCTCCTGCCAGTTCTGTTATTCACAGAAGAGTCTCAACCACCTGGGTGTACGTGTTACAGCGGACCCAGACCACTTATATGCTGAATATTATGCCCCTTTACTACACGCAATCAAACGTGACCTCTCGAACTGGCAGGACCTGACCCTGACATGGTTTGGTCGCTGCGCCTCCCTAAAGATGACAGTTTGACAGTTCTCCCCAGGATTCTGTACATACTTCAGGCGATACCGATTCATTTACCTCCCACTTTCTTCTCCCAACTGAGACGTATGTTTGTATCCTATGTCTGGGCTAGTCGGCGTCCGAGGTTGGCATATCGCCTCCTGGTACTACCTAAGGACCGGGGTGGAGTGGGCCTGCCGGACATTAAACTTTACTACAAGGCGTCCCACCTTGTCCGATTACTGGACTGGTGCCGCCATATAGATCAGAAACGATGGGTGGGGATGGAACTTTCAGAATCCAGACTGCCGCTCTCGGGGGCTGCGTGGCTCACTTCCCCTCTGCCGTCAGAGATCTCCTCACATCCCTTCATTGCGCCTACGCTGAGGGTGGCTAGGACGTCTCTCGATAATTCGGGAATTTCCCCCCACCCATCGCCCATGATACCGGTAATTGGGGACCCCGACTTCCCCCCAGGCCTGGAGAGCGGTCGCGTCCGCAGACTATTGAAGGTAGGTAAGTTCCGTCTTCTCGACTTTATATTGGACGGGACATGGATGTCTCTTGACTCCATACGACATCTGACCTGCCCAATGCTAGATGAGTGGAGTGCACGGCAGATCCGCCACTTTCTGATCTCTGTGCCCGGCCTGAGTCAGTTGACGCGTTGCCTCACGGATTTTGAGTCCATATGTCATCAAGGGGCCCCAATTCGCCATGCCCTTTCTCTGCTTTACAGACAACTCTGCTCGCCACCGCAGTCGTATTGCCCTCCATTCCTCGAGAAATGGGAGTCCGAGTTGGGAAGACCCTTTACTAAGCATCAAAGGGGTACAATATTGTCCTTGGCCCATAGATCCTCCATAGCATGCAAATTCCAGGAACAGGGATACAAGATTGTTTCCCGCTGGTATAGAGTCCCGTATATCCTAAACAAAATGAACAGCTCGATCCCCTCAACCTGTTGGAGATGTGAACAGGCTCAAGGTACCATGCTACATATATTCTGGCAGTTCTCCGGCCTTCGTTCATTTTGGACAGGGGTGAGGGAGACGATACACCGGCTGGTAATCGAGGCCCTACCAGATGACCCGGCGGTTTGTCTGTTACACATGACCCCTCTCACTGTTAAACGCTACAAAAAATCCCTGACAAAACATTTGTTAAATGCGGCTAGGTCATGTATACCTCTGATGTGGAGACAATCCAACCCTCCCACGTTGAGACTATGGTGGGGGCGGGCCGGGGGGCGGGCCGGGGGAGAGGAGTTCCCCTAAGCCCTGATAATGCCTCTAGATCCTATCCCCATCCCCTCCTTTTCCTTTTCTTCTTCCTTTCTGCCTGACCTCTATGTGATTTAGACCCTTCTGAAATTGTCCTGTCCAGGTGATGCCCCCTGAGGTGGGAACACACCCACTCTCTTACACCGGACGTGACTCTTGAAGCTCAACTTAGGACTAGAACTGACATACAGAGTGAGAGAGGTGGGCACGTCCCACACAATGATCAGTATGTATATGTCATTGTTAGCTTAGACAGCCGGTACTTTTCAGTCTCGAGGTCATGTTTAAAGCCTATATGTGAATATAATTATGCGGAGATGTAGCATTACTGCCAGTTGACATGTGATATAGATCTTTATATTGTCCTATGAGACCACTTAGTTCTAAAATGTTAGCATTTCTGTTGTAATACCTTTACAATGCTCTGTATTCATGTATCTGTCTGCTAATTGCAACAATAAACGCAGAATTATTTAAAAAAAAAAAAAATCAGCATACCTGTGTTATATGTAGCGTTGAAGCCGAGCCCGGCAACAGCTCCGTCACTGACGAACTCAACCAGCATATGGTTGCTGGAAGCGATGAGTTGAGGAATTATTTGATTGCCGCAGAATTTATCCCACAGCACAACAGAGTTTTTAGTGGGACCGTCATAGATTCTCATGTAGTCAGAGTTGCAGTCAAGACTGGACTGGAGATTAAAACCACTGAAAGTAAGTGAAGCCTAAAAGGTAACACAAAGAAAATGTTATCTACAGTAAGCCATTAGCTTCACATATTTCCAACTGCAAGCTGGGTTAGATTTAATATAGTGCAATACAGGACTGTATTAGTACTTAAATAACCCTTCAGAAATAGCCACATGATTATGGAGGATGCTCATTTCTGTTAAAAGATCTCACAGCTGTAGAGATTTTCTGGCTAAGATGTCCCTTCAAACATGTGTATGTTTTCCATCGACAACCTTTTTTATTTTTCCGTTGACAGAACTCTTCTCCTCCCTACTGACTTATTACTTGTCGCTTCACATGATATGCAATTGTTCCAAAAGACAAATACATTTAAACTGGACACATTTTGGGGCAGAAACCTTTCACCGAAGTCTTTAGTCAAAAAAGTCTTTGATTGGACCCTGTGTCAAAGGACAATGAAAACTAAAAATGAATCCATGTCCCATTGTGTTCCCTCTAACCCCCCAGTCCTACCATTCCTTCACTACCAGAGCCAGATGTAGGGCAAAAGTGATTTAGCATATCAGAGTTGCCAGAAAAGGCTCCTAGCAATGGAGTGATAATGGTAGCATAAGACTATAGAGTGGGCACCATTCCATAAAAAGGAACAGGTAGCAAAAAGTCCAGTGGGGCAATAGCAGTTTCAAATTACAATTAAAGAATGTAGACGTGTGAGGTCTAGGTGCTTCAAAGATAGACAAGAAAAAGCCACAACTGTGACAGATAAAAAAGAGGAAAGGGTACAATGACCTTATGTATAATCTTAGATGTATTTAGAGAAATAGAAAAAGACAATTTTGCAATCATAATTGGATTCATTTGATTTATTATCAATCTTGTGTCTGTCTACAAAACAAGGCACGTATGGTATTTAAGTTTCACAGGTAGACTGTTTCCACATTTGTGGTCAAATTGTTCATGTTTGCAGTTCCTTTACCTGCCCAGAAGGAGTCCTGATCAACCAAACCCAGTTAACATTATTAGGATAAGCAGAGGGATAGTTGGCAGAAGTGAAAACTCCTTTCTCTTTATCAAGCAAAGTAGCAAAGACAACTAAGAAGTGAGAACAAAAAAACATATAAATTGGAGTTAGTTAATGGAGAAAAAAAAGATGAATAATAATGAATAAATGCCGCTGCCTTTTATGATATCCATTGGGAACTTTTTATGGCTAAAAAAACACGGCAAAAGTCTGGAATTTTGAACTTAAAGCCAACGGAACAGTTTAAACTAAATACAGTTTAGGTGCATGAAATAAAAGGTTTTCTAAAGTCTTAAAGTTCATTTTCTTTAGAAAATCTGGGTAGAAAGGTTGTCCCCTGTCAGCATGCAGTAGAGATGGCCCCTTGCTCAATGTGTGGAAGCATTGGTCTCCCTGCAGAGGTCTGACCTGTCCCTGCTAAGTGCCAGCTAAAGCTCTCCAATTGGCTGAGAAGTGAGCTTAGCTGCTTGCAGAGCTATTGATCTCACTCAGCAGAAGGTGTGTTGGACCTCTGCAGAAAGACCACTGATTCCACAAAGAGAACAAAGGTCATTGTCTACAGCATGCTGGCAGGGGACAGACTGTTCCGCTTTCTAGATACCACAACCTGTAAGATTTTGCACACATTTTCTTATAATGCACCTGGTATGTATTTAGCTGATTTTATACTGACAGATCAATTGTGCTGTAATCAGCATCCTAGATATCCTCTTCCATCCTTGTCACAGCTCACAGAATCCACCTCTCCTAAACCAATACAGCCACCCGCATCCCAGAACCCATACATGATAAGTTGTGCCTCATTTCACATTTCCGGCTGGCCCTGGAACCCTCAGCTTTCAAAATTTTGGCTGAATAATTCTTGTTACTTTGGCCCTTGAAGTTAACCCCAAATGGCATCCAAACTAATATCTTGATTTATGTATTTGAGAGCAGTCTGGTTAGCTCATTGTTGTGTATTTTGTGGCTCGTGATAGAGCTCTATTCCTCTAAAATCTCTTGTAAAAGGCCTGAAAGTGCTTTCTGTACATGAAATAAGTTCATTCATTTCATTTTCAAATTCAAAGAAAATGAACATGGCAACTAATCTGATTCTGGTTCTTATTTTCCAACCTGGTCACAATCAGCAGTAGAAATCTTGGTTGGTATGGGCTCCATCTGCCTTCAAAATGTATCATTCCTAATGCGTCAAATAAATAAAATCGCAATCTACAAAAACTTACTGCATTGATAAACTTGGTTAATTTTAGCCACATCCAAGACACTCAGTCCATCTCTCTGCCCAATGGGCACAGTGTGATCAGGCTTGGGGACAATTGAGGGTTGATTTGATGTGTTGGAGAATGCATAGCTGTCAACAGGCAAATGGAGATTAGATCAACGTATGATCAATAAAACATTTTAGCATTTAACAACAATCTTCCAGCTAGCACAAAATTCATGACTTACGCATCATAATGCATCACTGAACCATAGTCATACCCAAGGACCATGTTTTTATTGTTCTGTTTATCAAAGTTGGCCCAGGATGCTGTAACAAGACAAAAGCAATGGTAATATCCTTCTTGTGAAAACATTGCTAAATTCTCCTTGTGTAAATGCTGCCATTACCTTCATAGATAAACTGGTACTTGATGTCAACATAATTGTCGCGATCCATCCTCACCTGTTCATGGGAGAAGCCCAGGGCATGGTTTAGTTCATGCTGTACAATCCCACTGATGACGCATTTAGGAATCAGGTAAAGCTGCTGGCCTCCGCCAATTCTTCCAAGATATGATAGACATCTAGAACTAGTAAACACGCAGTTCAAAACAATTTATCTTCAGTATTGTTTAAGAGTCAAAGACAAACAATTTCATAGAAATAATGAATTACTCTGATCTACAGGAAGAAAATGAAAAAAAGAAACAATGGCACAGTGGTGTAAGAACCGATGGGGCTACACTTCACAACATTCCCTCATTGTGCCTGTACACCACTCACATATAGCCAAGGGAACTACAAGTCCCGGCATGCCCTCATTGTCCCTGTACACCCCTTAAATATCACCCTGGGAACTAAAAGTCCCAGCGTGCTCTCATTGTCCCTGTACACCCCTACTCACACACACACATATCACCCAGAGAACGTCAAGTCCCAGCATGTCCTCATTGCTCCTGTACACACCACACATATCATTCAGGGAGCTACAAGCCCCTGCATGCCCTCCCTGTCCCTGTACACCCCCCACATATAACCAAGGGATTTGTAGTCCTCTATACCTCGTACTATTAGGCATTGCTGTATAATGTATTGCTGGGATTTGTAATCCTCTATAGCCAGTGCCATTTGGCATTGCTGTATAATGTATTGTATTGAATTATCCTTAGAACCAGATGGACAGGGTGGAAATATAATGGGGGTGGGAAACAAAATGTTGTTCTGCCTCGGGCGCCCGTAACTTTGGTTACACCACTGCATTGGCACTCGGTCCTAGATTGTGAAGAATAAAATAACAGCAAGATATTCAAAGTCAACTTGTCTAAACTATTATTACTCTAGACTGGGCGTCAAAGAGCTAACTAAATCATCACATTCAGGCTAAACAATAGCAAAAAGTAAAGAAAACACAGAAAATTGGAGTTTTAGTAAATATGCTTTTTTGATAGCAGAGTCAAGACAATGGGTAGGAGTCCCAGACACGTAATAGATTAGTAAATTGAGAAAACTGGTGAGATAAATACCCAGGTATTGTAGAGAGTGGGATTCCCATGTGAATAAAAAAGAACAAGTCTTTATTTTTATTCAATATTGTTATCATTATTATTATTATTATTACATGAGGAAATAAAATAGAGCAGCAGTCATGCACAGATAGGTGCACTAAAGTCTATGTTTTAGATGACCCCTACTGTATCACTTTATGCAGAGAGATATAATGGACAATAGACAAGACAACCTACCCAGATGAAATGATGTCGAGATAATCCCTTTCTCCTGTACGAGGCACAAATCTCAGACAAGTCAATGTCTCATACTCTTGCATGGCAGTCATAAATGTATTTATTTCAGCAAGAGCTGAAAATAGAGAACGGAGATTGGTTTTCTGCAAATAACAAATAGCAATGAATACTTAAATACAGGAGGATGAAGAGGGAACTCACTGTAGTTGACGGATAGGATGTAGGGAACATGGACTGTACCATTGGCATTTTTAGGCCAAACGCAAGTACTACAGTTTGAGGCACTGCGTCCAACCTTTAACAGAATATCATTTTCGTGTGTAGATAAGTTGCTATCTAAATATACAGAAAAATGGTTACAGTTAGTACACTTAAAAAATATATCCCATCTTAAAGCTGAACACCAGACTAACAGATACAATCACAGATGAAATACATATAATCCTGCCAATAGATTTGTATTTCTGTTCATCCAGTTTTGAGATTAACGCTGCTCTTCTCTATTTGGCAGGGCAAGAGACCTGGTTCTTCACTGCTGCAGTTACATAAATTCAAACAGAACAAATGCAGTTTTGCTGGATAAATAGCTAATAGAATTTTTTAAAATAAATAGACCCCTAAGTGTCTTGTGATTTACAACTTTATTCATTATCATTGCTCATACCCTTGGGGGACAGGTTTAGTGCCCTTATGATTTGGTAAATAATCCTATCATGCATGTGTGGATAATCCTGCTATAGGTCCCTTGAGGTACTTTTGAACCTTTACTCTTTTATGGCTACATGGACACATACAAAACACACATTAGGCACACCTAGTCTTAATTTACATCTAGCAAATGATTAAAACAAAAGAATGGAAGTGACTTAATTTTGTGTGAATAGTGAGACCATTCAAAACTTTTAATTATCCAGATTAGTAAAGGCGAGTGTATAAGTTATACCCCTGACCTGTGGAAAATCTAGTTGGGTGACTCCCTGAGCTCTGGTCTGGTTTTGTATCTCCCTGGAGGTCTTTGAGCCCTGGAAGGAGATGACTCTAAAGAGACTATCACCAGACCATTCATTCAATAATAAACATAGCAGATCATATGTGCATCTAACTTATGCTGGGTCAGCACAGACCCACAGAGACGCAGAGTAGTTAGACACCCCCAGGTAAAGAGAGGGCTAAGACAGGCAAGGAGGACGGCGGTTTTGCTAGGTAATTGACTTTTTCTGGAGTAGTCAGTTTTTCTGGGAAGTTCAAAGGCACATTGGAAGTGAAAAAAAGATATGAAATGGAAAAATGGCAAGTAAGCATTTCATTTTTTTTTTATGTTCTGTGCTTTTACCTTCAAGTGTTTAAGCTGATGGGTTTGGTAAGGCTCCTTTACCATAAGAGCAGTAAAAAGGTGTAAGTCTCCCTCAGGGGTTGTTTAAGCTGACTAGATACTAGATGCAATTCTAAAAACATTGTATGACAAATAGTGCCCAACGATAGTCCAGTAATTATCTGATTGCCTTTGGAAACCAGCTAACATGTTTTTTCTTCCAGAGTGAAATATTTTTTATAAAAGATTTTTGCCTTCCTCCAGATCTATTATGGGTCTAGGGTCATAGCGATACACTTTTGGATTAATTCCATTGATTTGGGTCTATTTTCTGCCTAACTATGTAAAGTACAAGTCACAGGCCCACCGAAACCCCTTGGAATTTTCAATGCATTGAAAACCTACATTGGAACAGCACAGGTCTGCTTCAAATCTATCAATATATGAACTCTAACAGGGTTATTCAGAAAAGGGTGAAGGGTTTGGAGAAGGCAGGAGAAGGGAACAATCTAGGACAACATAGCTGAACTGGAAAGTGAGCTGAATTGGAGAATTTTCCCAAATCAGCTTTTTAGTTCTAGATTGTTCACTTCTCCTGCCTTCTCCAAACCCTTCACCCTTTTGTGAATAACCCTGTAAGCGATTGGGTTCATTCAGATAATACAGAATTGTCTTCATATTCTTATCTGGCTGAGAATTTCTTTGGATTTCTTTGTTTGTAGATTTGTACCCATTTTCCAAAGTAGAAAGAAAAATAATTCTGTAGCTTCTGAAAGTCACAGCTGCTTAGATCTTTAAATATAACAATTTAGACCCAGTATGTGGAGCTAGGAGACCTGTTACTGAGCAATTTAGTTAATTTCCTAAACCAGAAAAGCAAATTCAAAGCCAATGTAGCAGTACAAACACTTAGGGGTCTATTTAGAACATTCCGTCCAGCCATGTGCAAGCTCCTGAGCTGCATGTAGTGGCAGCAATGCCATGCAAACAGCATTGGCTCAGCATATGGATGGGTGAAAGAGTTATAAATAAGCCCCGTATTGTCCTGAGAATATTGTAAAAGAGGACTACTGAACTGTAAAAAGAAGCCATGAAGGAAACTGGAAAAAGAAGCAGGATAATGGAAACAATAGAGAACAAAAAGATAGCAAAAATTAGAACTTTAGAAAGCTTACCAACTTTGTTCATTCCAGTGACAGGAGTCTGAAAGTTAAATATTTTGTATCAATATTTTATTTCAAATAAAAAAAACTAATAGCAGACAACAAGTGATAGTTCCACCCCATCTCCACCTGCCAGAGACCTCCATATCCCTTTATGGACTGACATCTTGGGCCTTATTGGTAATATTGCATTCTTGCCTTTTGTTAGTGGAACAGTTAGTTATCCCAACTACCCAACTACACTTCATTGTTCTGGAACAGCTTCCTGATGTTGACAATGATGGAACATGCTTATAGACTATAGCAGAAGCACACGTGGCAGAGTAACAACACAGGAGAACGGGGGCAAAGAAGTGTCTGAAGAAGGATCTTCATGTCAGGATCACAAGGTAGGATTTTACTATAAGCTTCAGTTTTTAAAAGGACTATTGTTGAAATGATGTTCAATGATATCAGTCATGTTAGAATGTACAGTATATGTGATTGTAGTAACTGGGCTTTCATGCACTTTGAAAAGAAACCTCCGTAAATTAAATAAAAAGAACCTCCGTAATGTAAAAAAAACAAACCATGTTATACTCTAATTAAAGAATTCTTTTAAAAATAATTAAATGTATTTAAAGTGCACATAGTCTAAGTTCCTACAGTCATATGAAAAAGTAAGTACATTTACCACATACAGTATGTGAACAGGCAAACATTAGATCCTTATTCTAATATTTCTTACAGATAAAGGTGATGTACTTGAATGTAAGCACAAGGAAGACATTTTTCCCTTTTAATTATTTATTCAACAAAAATACTAGACATGTGCGATTCGGTTCGTTCCGAAATTCGTTTTGGACGAATTTTCGGAAATTCGGAGATTCGGATGCATCCGAATTCCGAATTAAAGCTAAGCCGAATGCAAACGAATCCGAAATTCCCGATTTCCCGAAATTCGTTATTAAACGAATTTCGTTGCAGCAAAATGACATTAGGAAAAAAAATAAAATACAACAGTTACCTTCTCCTACAGTTCTATGGTTAAAGTACAGAAGCAATAGCGTAGCCGTACAGGGTAGGGGACAGGTTTGCCATTGTTACGGTCGCAGGTTCTAGTCCTGGGTAAGGTAGGGGATAAAGATTTTTTTTTCTTTACTTTTGAATTGACATTCTCCTATTGACCTAAATGTAATTTCTCATTTTGCTATTGGACGAATTCCGCAGCAAAATTAATTTTTTTTTTTTTTACAGTCTGTTGCCGAAATAAAAAAGTCCCGCCGCAGACGACCACCCGAATCCGAAAACTAGCCGCAAAAAAATGAGATTCTGTTTGAAAGTCAACAGATGGGCGGAGCGAGCCATGACGTCATGGCTCCCTCCGCCCATTTGACATACTCAGCTGTCAAATATATCAAATGCTTCTATGGCTAAAGTACAGAAGCTATAGTGTAGAGGTTAAAGCACAGGCTTGCCATTAATAAGGTTGCAGGATTTAGTCCAGGCCACAGCGTGTGAAGTTTTTTATTTTTCATAAACGAATTTCGGCAGCACTACCGCTAACTAATTTCGTCCGAAACTAATTTAATTTCGGACCCGAAAAACGAAACTAAACTAAACAAATTTTTTTTTTTCAAAACGAAACTAAACGAAACAAATTTTTTGCTGGTGCACATGTCTAAAAAAATACCAATAGATGTAATGATATGCTGTGGAAAAGTTAAGGACACCCTTGGCCTCAGAAGCTAGTATTGACCCCTAGCAGAAATTACATATTCTAGGCATATTGGATAACTGCACACCAGTCTCTGATATCACCATGGCAAACTTTGTGGACGCTCCTGCATGTAAAATGCATTCATCACAAGATTACTTGCACAAACTACCTGTTTTAAATCCCCCACAACATTTGAATAGAATTGAAATCAAGTCCTTGACTGGGTCAGTCCATTGCCCTCTATTTTCTCCTTTTAAGCCATTCCCAGTACCAATTGCTAGTGTTCTTCGGATCATTAGACTGTGGAAAGACTAATTTCCAGTTCAAATGTAACTTTGGACAGATGGCCTCACATTCTCATCAAGCTCACTTTGATACAATGCAAAATTCTTAGCTGCCTCAATGTGGGCAGCTGCCAAGAGCCCGAAGCAGCAAAGCAACCTCAAGTTATATTTCCACCACCATGATTTACAGTGGGTATGAGGTTCTTCTCCTGCATATGCCTGAGTTGCCCTCCTCACTCAGTAACTCAGAGAGACCATACCTGATGAGGATGAAGTAGCTGGATCAGAGATCTGCAGCAAGATGAGAAGATCTCTATTGTCAGAGTTGGCCTACAGGCAACCAGGCAGGAGCCTAATAGCACACAGCTTCTCCAAAAGACCCACGTTTTTTGGTTGCACAAAGAAGGTGTTCTTTGACCCTCAGACCATCATTATCCCTGGTTTTCATCTGTCCATTGTACTGTGCATGCCAATTCATCTTACCTCTTTTGATGGAGGCACGGGTAGACTGGTCACCAGCCCGGTAACACAGCCCAAAAGCAGAAGGAAGACCTTCTCATTCATCTTGTTCAGAATTCTCCTTTGCTGTAATGGGAAATATCTTCTCTCTGAAGCTTGTTGTGACACTCATCCTCTGGATCACCTTATATACAGGTACTAGAGAAGATTCGACCAATCATGAGGCAGAAAGGAAAATTTCAAGCATTACCTAGATTAATTGTGTATGGGAATTAGAAATGTATAATAATTTCATGTGTGACGCTATGTTCATTATATTATTATCTTAGTGATGTCCAGCTGTTCAACTTGTATGATTTTAAAGACAGACCCAGAGAGACTGAGCGGAGGGGCTACATGACTGGGGGGAGGAATAGTCCCGGGAGAAAGAGTTAATATAAAATGGGAATAGCTGCTCTTACCTGATTGGATGTGGGAGTCAGGTGTCCGGGAGGAGCTGCATGGGAAGGAACTGCAAGGGCTGAGCGACGTCCTCTTTCTGGAAATCGACAAAGGAAGCAAGTTGTTTGTTCTTCACCTTGCTGCACAAAAGAAAATACAATTTTGCCATGAGTGACCTGGAGTCCCTATAGGCGCAGGTCAGGGCGGCTGCTGTGCAGAAGGGGCACCAGTGGCTCCAAGAGCAGTTGGCTGATGTGTTAGGGGGTTCCAGGGAGGCTCCGTCAAGCCCCCCTGTCCAAAAATGTTCTTGGAGGTCTTGGCCTCCTGAGCACTTGAGTCCATTTAGTTCCCCCAGGGTCCAGCGTCGCTATGGGAGCCCCTCCAGGGACCCTCCAGCCCCTCACCCGCTGCCTACAGCCTCTGGGTCAGTGGTGAGGGCTGGGAGGAATCCCCGCAACCGACGGGACCCAAGGGAGGTGGGGTGTGCTTCTTCTCTACCCGCTTTCCCACCCTGCGTTTGCCTGGATCATGCAGCCTGGCGCGGGACCCATGCTGTTGCGAGTGGCCGGGAGATGGTGTCTCCCTCCGCTTTTCTTTCCCCCATCTGCCAGCTGATATGGCCTCCCCCTCCAGGGCTGCGGTGCCAGAGAGGGGTGCCTGTCGTGGACCGGGACCTGTAACAGGCGGCGCGGGAAGGGGGTACTCGTTCCCCCGCTGCTCCTGCTCTGCATGTGGACGTACTTACGGCCTCCCCCACCGCTGATGTACCTAGCGGAGGGAGGGCCCGCCGTGGAGCCGGAGCGGTGCCAGTCGTCGGCCGGGGTGTGTTCCTCTGCTGCCCCTTCTTTCCATGCTGCCATGCTGGATGCGGCCTCCCCCTCGGCCGAAGTGCAGAGCGGGGAGAGGGCACGTTGCGGGAGACATACTGCCAGGGCCGCCATCAGGGGGGTACCGCCGATACTCATTAGATGCAGCCCGGGCAGCCCCTTACATGAGTATCGGCTGCCGGTGACAAGCGAGGAGGCAGCCGGGCCCCCGCAGCGCAGGAGGAGGCCAGCCATAGCAGCGTCGGGCCCCAGCTTTACCTATACAGGCATTGGAGCAGGCTGGGGCCCCATCGCACCGAGATCAGCTTTTCATCTGATCTCTGACCGCCGGAAGTGACATCACGTCACTTCCGGCCAGTCCAGTGGCAGAGGAGGCCAGGTGAGCAGGTAAGAGGAGCTGGGAAGGAGCTGGCAAGGAGGGAGGGAGGGAGATGCAGCCCTGTCCAGCCCACCTGAGATCACTGCAGAGCCCACCATAGAGTATCAGATGGGCTGTGCAGCATCTATGGTGGGCTCTGCAGGATCACTCTCAGGTATGTGTGGAGTCTCAGGTGCGTCCTGCGTCTAGACCAGCACGTCACTAAGCCTTGCGTCCAGCGTGTCATTAAGCCCTGCGTCCAGCGCGTCATTAAGCCCTGCGTCCAGCGCATCATTAAGTCCTGCATCCAGCGCGTCACTAAGCCCTGCGTCCAGCGCGTCATTAAGCCCTGCATCTAGTGCATCACTAATCCCAGAGTCCAGCGGGTCACGAAACCCAGAGTCCGGGGGGTCACGAAGCCCTGTGTCCAGCTGGTCACGAGGCCCTGCGTCCAGCGGGTAATGTAATTGTGGGGAGGGACATTAGAGTGTAAGCTCCTCTGTACAGAGACTGATGTGACTGTGGGGGGGACATTAGAGTGTAAGCTCCTATGTACAGAGACTGATGTGACTGGGGCTGCAACAACGAATCGACTAAGTCGATTAAAGTCGATGATGTTGTCAACGTTTTCCATCATCGATTAGTCGGCTTTTGATTAGTTGCCCCTGTTTGCGGCTTCACGCCACACACCGCACCTCCTCCCCGTCTCTCCCAGCTCTGAGCTCTCTCCCGCCGCTGCCCGCTAAGATGATCACGTCGTTGCAGAGAGACTGCAGTGTGGGGGAACGGCAGCTGCCGACAGTCCCAAAGTCTCGGAAGAAAGTAAAGTTGCTTGAAGAGTGTGCAGGTAAGACTACCTGCACCCCCACATGCTGTATACATTTATTGCTGGGATTTGTTGTATTCCTCTATAGCTGATGGTATATTGCGCTGTATATGTACCATCAGCTACAGAGGACCACAAATCCCAGAAATACATTATACACTGTATGTATATTGTATTGCTGGGATTTGCAGTATCCCTCTATAGCTGGTGATAGTCTGCATTGCGCTGTATAATGTATTGCTGGGATTTGTAGTCCTCTATAGCCGGTGCCATTCTGCATTGATTGCTGTATAATTTAAATTTTACATTTCACTATATTGCACACCACACTTTTTTTTTTTTGCTTCCACCGCTCCAAGCTTGAGTGACAGAGACAGATGTGACTGGCTCAGTGTTCTCTGTTCGGTCTGACAATCTGAGAGTGGCAGCGGCTGGGAGGCGCAGCCACACCCCCTTAAAGGGACAGACTGTTCCTGGGGCTTCTTCTGTCGGAGTATCCCTCTGGTAAAAAAAAGACAGAAAATAGCACTGCGCTTCACAAACTCAAAAATATATTCCTAAAATGTGAGAAGAATTGTATAAATTGTGAAACTGTCACAGGGTGATAAAAAAAATTTGTATTATACACAACACCTGTGTTGCACATTCCCTTTGCTAATACTAGTTCAGTAAAAACTCTTGGTCTAATGGTCTAGACACTATAAGCCATAATGAACATAGAAATTAAAAAAAAAACAACTAAACAAAACATATACTTGTACTAGTACTTCTCATAAAATGTGTACATATAGAAATTCTGTATTAAATCTCACAAGTGATGTACAACTCCCTCTTAATCTACATATCCATATGTGAAGTCCATTACTTCTTAATACAATAAAGTCCTTGAAATATGTGAAGATATAGCTTCCAACTTTTATAATCCACACCACGTCCGTGAATGCATAAACAATGAGTGAGTCAGTGCTCTCCAGTCTCCACCGTGCTCAAAGATAACATCTGGCCGCACTCACAGACTCCTATTGCTCACCATATTTCAGATGAACAATTAGCGCTTTGCTGATATAAATAGAACCAAATCCTCTCCTTTGTTTTTAATCCGACAATAAATTGAGGTATATTCCTCCCAACTCTGGCTTATCTTTTCAAAACCGTATAATACTATTCCTCCATCTTCCACCTTCTCTTGTACTCAGAGAAAGAAAAAATGCTTCCCATAGTGTAGTATGTCAGAATAAATGTATTTAAAACAATTAAAATGCACTTACAATTAAAATAAGGCAATTGCACATGGATTGTGTCCACTGGAGCTCCTGTCTCTATGATCGTAACGCTCGCATGGATCCGCCCCCACCTGATGCATTTCGTCACTATTGACTTATTCTGAGGCGCCGGTCTGCATACTTTGCCCTTTGTTTATTATGGTTTATAGTGTTTAGACCATTAGACCAAGAGTTTTTACTGAACTAGTATTAGCACAGGCATTGTGCAACACAGGTGTTGTGTATAACACAAAATAGTGTTAACACCTTGTGACAATTTCACAATTTATAACATTTTTCTCACATTTTAGGAATATATTTTTTTCAGTTTGTGAAGCGCAGTTCAATTTTCTTTTTTTTTTTCCTATTTTGGGTGTACTCACCTATTAAGCACAGCTGCTTTTAGAGTGTTATTTGATTCCTAGCGCAGTTTTTTTCTATCTAACATTATCCCTGCTGGTGTCCGCGGCTGGGGCAGAGGAAGAAGAGCTAGATCAGCGACCTGGGCCGATCGTCATGGTGCAGGGCGGCGGCACCTCCTGGATGTCGGGACTCGTTACCTGAATACAGTGAGTTGAGCAATCCTGATGGCTCGACGGTGTTGGGAGCCAATGGCGGACGGCTGCGTAGTCATCTGGCTCGGCGCCGCGACAGCTTGGTGAGCCTCTTTTCTTTGCCTTCTGGTGGGGTAGGGTCTGGCGTGGCGACGGTGGACTGGGGGTTGGTCGGGTCGCTGGTACTTGGCGGGGTGACGCCCCCTTCGGTGGCGGGGAGTAGTGATTGGCGGGGTGCGTTGCCCGGGGTTCAGGAGTTTTTTGAGGGGTTTAGGTCCTTGCTTGCGCACTGCAAATTTTCTAGGGCTCTGGCGCCGCCCCCGGACCTGTGGAGGCTTGGTTGCCAGTGGACTCTTCACTGGCTCCTGAGGGGGTTCGGCCTGCGGCCCTGGGGGTGGGGCCGCCGCCGTAGTAGGTGGTGTGCCCCTGTTTCTCTGGCGAAGGACACTGGGGGGAAATCGTATGGGTTATCAGATTCGGCGAAAGGGCAGGTATATGTTTGCATTGAGGGTCCCTTGGGGGTGCACTTGAAGCCGGAGGTGAGGGAGAAGATTTGGAAGGGGTAATATGTGTGGTTGTTTTCGTTGTTGCCATTGGAGAAGTTCAATATAGAGAAGGGTAAGGCGGATGAGAGTAAAACAGAGGAGGAGGAGAAACGTTGCTGGCGTCTCATTCCACGGACCTTTACGAATTGGCTGCAGGGGTTCGCCATTTGCCTAGTGTGATTGGTGAGCGGGCGCCGGAGAATTGTTCGGCGTTGTTCTGCTATATGGATGCGATCAGCGAGGCGCACACGGTTTATGGGGGCACGGCGTGGCTGCGTTATGACAAACAGTT